TTTGTCGTCACGACGCCAGCGCCATTTGATTTGAACGAGACCGCCAAGCAGTCTGACGTCGCCAAGGCGATCAGGGTCTCAAAGCGCGCCCTCCCGACCCTCCTGCCTCCTCAGCCGACGCCCTCCGTCACATATGGTAAGCAACTCACGTTTGAAAAGGGTTCAGCGAAACATCAGTTGAACCTGCTGAGATAGCCTTTTGCACAGTGTCTAGTGTCAGCCACTTTCCGCGGGGGCACACAGATCGAAGTTAGAGCCGCTGCAGACGTGTCCTGAACAGCCGTCGAGAACGTTGATCCATCTTCCCGCTCCATCCATCCTCCCTCTTCACTTCCCTTCCATTCCCCGAGATCCAAACGTTTCCGATCTAGCCTTTAAAAACTGCTGGGGCGCCAGGTCCTCATGGTTTCAGGAAAGAGTGTGCCAGATCCTGGAAGGAAGACCGGGAGGGACAAGGGGAACGAGGAGAGGCATCCATCCAATGTTTGCTCTGCTCGAGGTCCATACTTAGTCAAGCACTTGCCGGTAGCAAGCCCAAGATGGTGTCCTTGCGATCTTTCCGGGCCATGCCGACAGAAACCTCGTCGTCAGTCATTCGTTGATCGGGGGACTGACATAGAACTAAGTCTTCCAATGAGGAGGGGCGAGAAGGGCGAGAATCAGGGGCAGCGTGAGTGAGGGGACCATGCGCAGCTTCTCTTCGCCGTGCACCCCCGATTATTCTTCACTTCTGTTCCCTGCTGCTTCCTGGCATCCGTTCCCCCTCTGGGTCCGCTGTATCCGCGACCGGTCATAGTAGGGGAACGAAAAATGACATAAACATAAAAAAACTCGGAGGTCCGCGCGGATTTCTTGGATCCGCGCTGGGCCCCCCTCCCAAGCGCGCGGAGCGCGCCAGGGGCGGCGCCGCCAAAAATCCGCGCGGACCTCTGAGTCATTAATGTCCAAAACCTGGACGCGGAGTGCCAGGGCGGTCCGGTTTGCCCCGCCTTCCTTTTGTTTTTAGATGCGCACTATAGCGCCGTGAATAATCATTTTTTTAGCTCCCCCCAGATTCTAGTTTTAGCTGTTTTGAGACATGATGTCTATGTCAGCGTGCGTTCCCCCAACTAGGGATTGCTCACTTCGGGGAGGAGGACGAGCAGAAGGAGGAAGAGGGGGAGGAAGAGGAGGAGGAGAAGAAGAAGGAGGAGGAGGAGGAGGCGGAGGAGGAGGAGGAGGAGGAGGATTGTTCCCCCAACTAGGGGGGGGGGCCCGCGGCCAGCGACGTGCTGCCTGCGCCGCCGCGCCGTTCGGCGGCCTCGCCGGGGCCTTCCGTGTGCCGGCTTCGCGCCCCTGCCTCCGGCAGCACACCCCGCCCTGCGGCGGTGCGTCGCCCCGCGTGCCCTCGGCCCTCCGGGGGCGAGAGGCCCCCGCAGGAGGCCCAGGAGAGGCGAGCAAACGCCACCGTTTTTTGTGTGGGACTCCGCGGGCTGCTCTCTCGTCTTCGCTTCTGTCCTGCAGCAGAGGGGCGGAGCGAAGGCAGAGCGCTCCTCCGGGGCCGAAAGAGCTGGCGCAGCAGGGGGCGGCCGCCGCGGCCTTGCCTGGCCTCCCCCACGATGCTCAGCCTCCGGGCGCGGGCTGGCGGGGCCCCCCCCAGAGCGGCTCGGGAGGCTCGCCGCGTGCCGCCAGAGCCGGCTCCTCCGGCTTTGGAGGGCTCGGCTGCGCCCAGGACCAGGCGATGGCAGACATGGATCAAGGGGGCGTAGATCAGCGACTGGTCCCGTTTCCATTGGAGATCGCGGGCTTCCGCCGCCGAGCGAGGCGGCGCCGGCTGCATTCTGGGGAGGGCACCTCCCCCGATCCATGGATTTGGCGACCGCGCGTCGAATCCATGGACTGCTAGTCCACATTTGCGCGCCCCCGATTGTTTGCCAGCTCGCCTCCTCCCTGTTCCTCTGGCAGCCGACGCGTGGCGTCGGTCCGTACTTTGTCTCTTTCGGTGGCCATGGTCGCCACAGCTAGACAAGGGAACTGCCTCTTGCCCCTGTGTGGCGGCTCCTGCTGGGGTTCACGGCCTGCCTCGAAGTCCTGTTCGGAGGGACCCTCTGTTCCATGTCATACCCGCGCCGAACCCTCAGCCTGGCTCCAGTGCTTGGGCCTGGCATCGCTCGCACGTGTGCATTCTTCTCAGCGAGGACCATCGAGGCGCATCTTGGAGCATCCTGCGAGACATACTGACATGTTTTCGTCGGCGGCGAGGCGGAGGCGGAGGCGACCCGCACCAGCGTCGGGTTACGCGGGGGCGCCGAAAGGCACAGCGAGACATAACAACACAGGAAGACGAAAAACGCACACGGAACGTCCGAGCGATGGCAAGTGGGCCGCATCACGCACAGCTCAGTAGCGCTTCAACCAGATACGACCTCCCTGCCTGAGGTCTCGGCTCTGCGGGTGTTTGGGGAGGCTGCTGCCCCCCGTTGGGGCCCTTGGGAGCTGAGGACGGAGACAAGTCTCGGGGTGGTTTCGGGGCTTCTGGCGGCGCGCACAAAGAGGTAGGGGCAGGGGGAAAGGCTTCTTAGAAGCATCCCTGCTTCTTTGAAGGCGCGGGCCTTGTCTGCAGAGGTAGGGCCGGCGCCTTCCAAGAGGCAACATCCTTCTAAGAAGCCTGCCCCCCTCCCTCTACCCCCTGTGCGCGCCGCCAATTCTTGCCCACGGCGTGCTGATAAAGATCTGGGGTTGAGTGCCCACGATTGGTATTTGCTGTTGTGCCCGCCCCCGACGGTTGCGTGAGCCCGAGGAGTGTGAGCGTCGGATGCTGCCAGAAGTGGCCCTGGCCCTGGCCCAAGGTGGCCCCAGCGTTCCCAGGGAGGCGCAGATGGCTGCCAGAGCGCCCTATCAAGAGGTCCAGAGTGCCTCAGAGCCCCCAGATGTTGCAAAAAGCAGAAGCGACTTGGGCCAGGACCACTGCTAGCAACAACCTAGAAAGGAGTGGATGCCGACCTCCCTCCCCTCCCTGCCTCCCCTCCTCTCCCCTCTCCCTCCCTCCTCGCCCTCTTCCCTCCTGTGTCCTCCCTCTCTCCCTCTCTCCCTCACCACCTTGTGGTTACCAAATTCCAGCGAATTCACTCCCTCCCCTTCCTCCCCTCCCTTCCACAATTACTCAATATGAATACTACTCTCCTCCTTCCCCTGATGACGGGTTGGGGGTGTTCGCCCCCCCCTCCCCCCCCCCGCGTACTGTTTTCTACACTTTCCGGAGTTGGATTTTCGCATGCATTTTTTTCAAAATGCTGCTCTCGCTGAGGCGCCGGCCTCATTTTCGGGCCCCGCTCGTTCCGAATCGTGCTCCCGCTGCAGCGTTGGCCTCCTTTCCGTGCTTCCGCTCGTTCCGAATCGTGCTCCCGCTGCAGAGCTGGCATCATTTCCGCGCTTCCGCTCGTTCCGAATCGTGTTCCCGCTGCAGCGCTGGCGTCATTTCCTATGCCATGCTACGCTTTGATCTTCAACGCCATGCTATGCAATGTTATGTTCGGGGCCGCTGTGCGATACCATGCTTTGCGTTGCAAAGCTTTGTGATGCACTTCTTCACTACGCCACGCCACGCCATGCTGTGACATACTACGCTTTGCGGTGCTCTTCTACGCCATGTCATGCCGCGCTCTACAATGCATCGCGTACCCTTTCGGGATCATTGCCCTGCTCGGCATCCGACTGTGCGAGTAGAGAGGGGATCTACGCCTACGCCATGGTAAGGGATGGGAGGGAGGGGTAGGATGTCAGATATGACGCTAGCGCACCTAGCTTGTCCCCCCCTCCTCCCTCCCCACCCCCCCTCCCTCCTCCCGCCCCTTGGTGGCGACAGCCCCGCCGCCGCGGCGAGGCCGCCGCCTCGCGCGACGAGGCCACGCGCCCCGCCAGTTGCGGCAGCCGGCGCCCCTGGGGGGGCAGGGCAGAGGGTCCACTGGCCGCGGCCGAGGCACGGCATCGGCCAGCGGAGGGCCCAGGGCGGCCTGGAGGAGGCGGAGGAGCAGGAGCAGGAGCAGGAGGAGGAGGAGGAGAAGGAGGAGGAGGAGGAGGAGGAGGAGGAGGAGGAGGGGGAGGGGTGAAGGGGGGGAGAGAAGGGGGGGGGGCAGGGAGGCTGGGGGACGCGTGAGGTTTTCGGGCGTCCTCGTGCGGCCTCGTCCGCCTTCCAATCCCGGAGGGCTCTCTGGCAGCTGCGCCTCGCCCAGAGCGTCCCGAGGGTGCCCGGATCGTCCTTCACGGCCGCCAGACACCCGAGGCATAATCCAAAAGCCAGGCGGCGAGAAGGGAACGATGGAGGAAGATTCGGAGATGAGTGTGTGTGTGTGTGTGTCCGTGTGTGTGTGTGTGTGTTTGTTTGTTTTTGTGTGTGTGTGTGCGTGTGCGTGTGCGTGTGCGTGTGCGTGTGCGTGTGCGCGCGTGCGCGCGTGCGCGCGTGCGCGCGTGCGCGCGTGCGCGCGTGCGTGCGTGCGTGCGTGCGTGCGTGCGTGCGTGTGTGTGTGCGCGTGTGTGTGTGTGTGTGTGTGTGTGTGCGTGTGTGTGTGTGTGTGTGTGTGTGTGTGTGTGTGTGTGTGTGTGTGTGTGTGTGCGTGCGTGCGTGCGTGCGTGCGTGCGTGCGTGCGTGCGTGCGTGCGTCTGTGTGTGTGTATAGGTGTGTGTGTGTGTGTACATGGGTGTGTGTGCTTGTGTGTGTGTTCGAAGAAAACACGCCATGAACATACACTTTGGGCGCTCCGCGCGGATTACTTGGATCCGCGCTGTGCCCCACAGGCGTCGCCTCCGGCGCGCTCCGCGCGCCAGGGAGGGGGGTCCAGCTCAGGTCCAAGGAATCAGCGCGGAGCGCCGCAAGTTTTTTGGCCGTCGTAAGCGTGCCCCGCCTTGGTTCTTGCTGCAGTAGCGTCACTCGGCCATTGGAGGGACAGTTTTTTGTCTGTGCCCTCCTCTGTGGCCGTCGCAGCTGCGATTTGCCTGTCCTGGTCTCCCTTTGCCGCTTTGCGCTGCCGGCGTCCATCGTCTGCTCTCTGACTTGCACCAGCCGCTCGCTCTGCCGCCGACGCCCGCCCTTGTGACTAGCGCGTCGCCGAGCGAGCGCTGGCCGAGGGAAATCTGTGTGCGTGTGTGCACCCAAACTCTCCGTTCCCTTTCCTCATCTATCGCTATCTTGGCTCAGGTATTGACCAACCTGGCGTGAGGACTACGTACTTCCCTGGGGAAGCACCTCACCGTCACAGTTTCAATTCTCCGGGTCGTGGGTGGATTAAGCCCAGACGCCGCCTTCGCTGGTCCCCAGCATCGATTGCCAATTTCATGTTCTGAGTATCGAATATATGCCCGTGGCTGCCGGGGAAAACCCACGGTGATGATGCAACCGCTGGCAGAAGGCAAGGGCTCGAAAGGCATGACAACTTACAGATGGGACGGGGGAGGGGGAAGAAGGCGAGGAGGAGGATGAGGAGGAGGCGGAGGCGGAGAAAACAGAGGGGAGCAGGATAGACATAGGGATGGAGGAGGCTGAGGAGCAAGCGCAGGAGGGGGAGTAGCTCGAGGATGTGCGGGGGAACGGGGGAATGGGAAGGCGAGGGTGGAGCCCAGCTGGGGGATGGGGCCAGGCAGGGATCAGCCCGGTTGCGCAGGGGCGCGGGTGCCACGGGGCGAGGGAGCACAGGCAGGGGGGTCGGCAGGTTGCTCCGCCGAATGCCCGCCACAGGAGTGCTCACCCCAGTCCTCTGCCTCCCGGGAAATGCCCTCGTCAGCTACGGTGGGGGTGTTCGTGAAGGAAGATGCCCAGGAGGCTTCAGACCCTGATGGGTCCCTTATCTAATGATGGCGGCGGTTACATCCATGACCATTCCACGAACGGAGTTCCACCGGCTTCCAGACCCTGGATTCATTATCCAGCGGTGCCTTATCTTGCGCGAGCCCCCCCACCCCACAGCTTGTCCAGGTCGCTGTCGTCTTCGCCGCCGGGAGCCCGCCATTCTTTTTGAGCGCCCGCCCGTCGGGCGCATGCCAGCCTTGCCTCAGAGCACCGTGCCTGGACTGCGCGCTGGTGCCGAGCCTCTCTCTGCAATGGCTGGCTCGCGCTGCGACCGTGCCGTCTCTTCCTCGGCCTCTTTGCGGTGCCTTCGTCGCGCCCTGCTCGGGCATCGTCCTGCCAGTCGCGGTCCTTGCTTCAGCTGCCGCCGTGCGTCCGGACTGGCCCAAGGTTCAAGGCGCCCAAGAAGCCCAAGACGGCCGATGAGTACAACGGCGTGGCCCTCGAGGCGCCTTCCAGCACACCCCCGCTTGCACCAGCTGTGCCCACACCAATTGCAGGCCCAGGCGAGCGCGTTCAGATCTCGAGTATCGCGAAGGCGGCGGCCACGGCCCATGATTACATCTGTTGACCATCTGCAGACGACAAGACCCCAGCACCCGCATGATATGGCCCCTTGTCCACCAATCGCGCTGGATCGTCTGGCAGAGGGCCTGGCCAGGCTTGTAATTCAGAGGCATCGGACGCCTGGGGATGGCGACGGACAGCAGGCATCAAGCATGCGTACAATTGTCGGCAAGTCTGGGAAGTTGTGCACCACCTCGTGCGCACCAACTTTTGATTACCTGCATCAACAGCAATCGTACTTGGCCGTGTTGTTGCTTGTCTGAAGCCGACTTCACACCTCCCAGCTTTAGTTCGCAGTTCATCGTGTACCGTTGTGACCAGAATGCTTATAGAGCAAACATCTCTGTTTTCCCAATGTGCATGTATCACTGTGCGAACATTCATCGTTGATACCCGATGCTTCGGAACCATGTATCGGCATTGGGCCAATCTGAAGTCTGCAGGTGTCGAACGCGATTGCCGTAACATGGCATTTGATCGGGGGAGACGTGAGACTGGGGGTGTCGGCAGACATCGCTTGATAGGAAGAGGGGGGCCAGGGCCGAAACCAGTGGGCTCCACCATCGTGGTCGGGAACTGTTGTATCCTTTTCCAGGCCGAAGGCTCGCGGGCACGCCTGTTCAATCACGGTGTCAGTTCAGGTCGGCGACAGCGGTGCTCAGGAGAGGCTTGTCGGGGGAAGGCGAACGACGTTATGATGGGCTCCACGTTGGGTTGGTCCTGTCTCGCTCGAAGAAGAACTTTGCATTACCATAAACTGCCCGAGCTTCGCGCGGATTTCTTGGATCGGCTCTGTCCCCACCGTCGCCGCGCCACAGGCGCCGCCAATCTCTCTTTTAGTCCCCCACATGTTTCGTGGGGTTCTGGTTTTCTTCTCTGCCGCGTCGCACCCGCGTCTCCTCACACACACACACACACCTCCCCTCCCCCCACACACACAGCACAGCTCAGCACAGCTCAGCACAGCTCAGCTCAGCACAGCACAGCTCAGCACGGCACAACACAGCTCACCGCAGCACACCACAGCACAGCACGGCATCCGTTTCGGGCTCGCAAAGCGTGGCAGGCGTGGCGCATCCTCGGCACCACAGGTGGGCGCGCTCCGGGTGGGGTCGCTATCCGTTTCGGGCTCGCAAAGCGTGGCAGGCGTGGCACATCCTCGACACCACAGGGGGCGCGCTGGGGGTGGGGTCGCTGTCCGTTTCGGGCTCGCAAAGCGTGGCAGGCGTGGCACATCCTCGACACCACAGGGGGCTCGCTGGGGGTGGGGTCGCTGTCCGTTTCGGGCTCGCAAAGCGTGGCAGGCGTGACACATCCTCGACACCACAGGGGGGGGGGGCGCGCTGGGGGTGGGGTCGCTATCCGTTTCGGGCTCGCAACGCGTGGCAGGCGTGGCACATCCTCGACACCACAGGGGGGCGCGCTGGGGGTGGGGTCGCTGCCCGTTTCGGGCTCGCAAAGCGTGGCAGGCGTGGCACATCCTCGACACCACAAGGGGGCGCGCTGGGGGTGGGGTCGCTATCCGTTTCGGGCTAGCAAAGCGTGGCAGGCGTGGCACATCCTCGACACCACAGGGGGGCGCGCTGGGGGTGGGGTCGCTATCCGTTTCGGGTTCGCAAAGCGTTGCAGGCGTGGCACATTCTCGACACCACAAGGATCGCGCTGGGGGTGGTCGCTACCCGTTTCGGGCTCGCAAAGCGTGGCAGGCGTGGCACATCCTCGACACCACAGAGGGGGCGCGCTGGGGGTGGGGTCGCTATCTGTTCGGGCTCGCAAAGCGTGGCACGCGTGGCACATCCTCGACACCACAGGGGGCGCGCTGGGGGTGGGGTCGCTATCCGTTTCGGGCTTGCAAAGCTTTGCAGGCGTGGCATATCCTCGACACCACAGGGGGGGGGGGCGCGCTGGGGTGGGGTCGCTATCCGTTTCGGCTCGCAAAGCGTGGCAGGCGTGGCACATCCTCGACACCACAGGGGGCGCGCTGGGGGTGGGGTCGCTATCCGTTTCGGGCTCGCAAAGCGTGGCAGGCGTGGCACATCCTCGACACCACAGGGGGGGGCGCGCTGGGGGTGGGGTCGCTATCCGTTTCGGGCTCGCAAAGCGCGGCAGGCGTGGCTCACCCTCGACACCGCAGAGGGGCGCGCTGGGGGTGGGGTCGCTATCCGTTTCGGGCTCGCAAAGCGTGGCAGGCGTTGCACTTCCTCGACACCACAGAGGGCGCGCTGGGGGTGGTCGCTATCCGTTTCGGGCTCGCAAAGCGTGGCAGGCGCGGCTTTTCCTCGACACCGGAAGGGGTGCGCTAGGGGGGGAGCCCGTATCTGGTCAAGAACTGTAAACACCTTGGCTCCAGCCGGCTCGGCGCGCCTGCGCTCTCACGCAGGCGCGCTCTTGTAGTCCTACTTCAGAGCACCGCCCTTCCTGCGCGCGGCAGTCATGCCGCCTAAACTTGCCCTGGGCGCTCTGAACCAGAGAGGGTGCACAGGGGATGGTCCCTCAGCGCGGTCTCTATGCGCGCCAGGGTCGGAGAGCGTGGCAGGGGTGGCATTTTCCCGACACCAGAGAGGGTGCACAGGGGGTGGTCCCTCAGCGCGGTCTCTATGCGTGACAGGGTCGGAGACCGTGGCAGGGGTGGCACTTTCTCGACACCAGAAAGGGTGCGCAGGGGCACGGCAGAGTGGCAGGGGTGGCACTTTCTCGACACCAGAGAGGGTGCGCAGGGGGTGGTCCCTCAGCGCGGTCTCTATGCGTGCCAGGGCCAGAGAGCGTGGCAGGGGTGGCACTTTCCCGACACCAGAGAGGCTGCACAGGGGGTTGTCCCTCAGCGCGGTTTGTATGCGTGCCAGGGTCGGAGAGCGTGGCAGGGGTGGCATTTTCTCGACACCAGAGAGGGTGCGCAGGGGGTGCTCCCTCAGCGCGGTCTCTATGCGCGCCAGGGTCGGAGAGCGTGGCAGGGGTGGCACTTTCCCGACACCAGAGAGGCTGCACAGGGGGTGGTCCCTCAGCGCGGTTTGTATGCGTGCCAGGGTCGGAGAGCGTGGCAGGGGTGGCATTTTCTCGACACAGAGAGGGTGCGCAGGGGGTGCTCCCTTCAGCGCGGTCTCTATGCGTGCCAGGGTCGGAGACCGTGGCGCCACTTTCCCGACACCAGAGAGGGTGCGCAAGGGGTGGTCCCCAGCGCCGTCTCTATGCGCGCCAGGGTCGGAGAGCGTGGCAGGGGTGGCATTTTCTCGACACCAGAGAGGGTGCGCAGGGGGTGCTCCCTTCAGCGCGGTCTCTATGCGTGCCAGGGTCGGAGACCGTGGCGCCACTTTCCCGACACCAGAGAGGGTGCGCAAGGGGTGGTCCCCCAGCGCCGTCTCTATGCGCGCCAGGGTCGGGGAGCGTGGCAGGGGTGGCACTTTCTCGACACCAGAGAGGGTGCGCAGGGGGTGGGTCCTCAGCGCGGTCTCTATGCGTGCCAGGGTCGGAGACCGTGGCAGGGGTGGCACTTTCTCGACACCAGAGAGGGTGCGCAGGGGGTGGTCCCTCAGCGCGGTCTCTATGCGTGACAGGGTCGGAAAGCGTGGCATGGGTGGCATTTTCCCGACACCAGAGAGGGTGCGCAGGGGGTGGTCCCTCAGCGCGGTCTCTATGCGCGCCAGGGTCGGAGAGCGTGGCAGGTGTGGCAGTTCCTCGACACCAGAGAGGGTGCGCAGGCGGTGGTCCCTCAGCGCGGTCTCTATGCGTGACAGGGTCGGGTAGCGTGGCAGGGGTGGCACTATCCCGACGCCAGAGAGGGTTCGCAGGGGGTGGTCCCTCAGCGCGGTCTCTATGCGTGCCAGGGTCGGAGAGCGTGGCAGGGGTGGCATTTTCTCGACACCAGAGAGGGTGCGCAGGGGGTGGTCCCTCAGCGCGGTCTCTATGCGTCCCAGGGTCGGATAGGGTGGCAGGTGGCACTTTCTCGACACCAGAGAGGGTGCCCACGGGGTGGTCCCTCAGCGCGGTCTCTATGCGTGCCAGGGTCGGAAAGCGTGGCAGGGGTGGCGTTTTCTCGACACCAGCGAAGGTGCGATCTGCTGCCTCGCGACGACGAGTGCGACGACGAGTGCGACGAGCACGACGGCGAATGCGAAGACGAGCACGTAGCACCCCGCAATTGCGGATAAGAGTGAGGGGGCGGGCGCGGGCGACGCGGGTGTCGTCGAGCCGGCGGACCTCGTGGTCCCACGTTCCCTGTCGATGGCGCTCTCCTCCTCCTCCCCCTCCTCCTCCTCCTCCTCCTCCTCGTCCCCGTCCTCGTCCTCATCGTCATCGTCATCGTCATCCTCCTCCACCCCGTCCTCCTCCTCCTCTTCTTCCTCGTCCTCCCTCTCCCCCTCGTCCTTTCATCATCGTCCTCCCATTGTCGTCCTCCCCCTCATCGGCCTCCATCATCGTCCTCCCATTGTCGTTCATCATCATCATCATCATCATCATCATCATCATCATCATCATCATCATCATCATCATCATCCCCCTCCTCCCCCTCCTCGTCCTCCTCCTCCCCCTCCTCCCCCTCGTCGTCCTCCTGCTCCTCCTCCTCCTTTTCTTTCTCCACATTCTCCTTACATCCTCTCTTCTTCCGCGCTCTCCTCGTCCCATGTTTGCTCCTCCTGCCTGCCCCTCCTTCCCCAAGATAGCTGCAACGCAGTCTTTTTTCAATGTATGCTCCCCGCCTTCTCTGATCAAGGCAACTCGCCAGGGCAGAGTTGCTGGACGGGCTGGTGTGGATGCGTTGGGCTTGAAGAGGTCCTTGCGGGCTCAGACGGCATGCAACAATCCGCCGCCGCGCTTGTGCGGCATTGGTTTGTTCAATGAACGTGGTTTGGGTCGCGGGTGGGTCGCGGGCTCTCCACGTCCACCTGGAAGGAATGCAAAAGCAGCCCGCCGCAGGCGCCCAAAACATTGGTTTGTATTCTGAACGCGGTTTGGGTCGCGGGTGGGCCGCGGGTTCTCCACCGGGAGCGAATGCAAAAGATGCCCGCCGCAGGCGCCGAACAATGTGGTTTGTACTCTGAACGCGGTCGCGGGTGGGCCGCGGGCTCTCCACCTGAAACGAATGCAAAGGATGCCCGCCGCAGGCGCCGAAAAATGTGGTTTGTACCCTGAACGTGGTTTGGGTCGCGGGGTGGTCGCGAGTTGGTCACGGGGTGGGTCGCGGGCTCTCCACCTGGAAGGAATGCAAAACAAAACCCGCCGCAGGCGCCGAAAATGGTGGTTTGTACCTTGAACGCGGTTTGGGTCGCGGGTGGGTCGCGGGTGGGTCGCGGGGTGGGTCGCGGGTGGGTCGCGGGTGGGTCGCGGGTGGGTCGCGGGTGGGTCGCGGGTGGGTCGCGGGGTGGGCCGCGGGCGGGTCGCGGGGTGGGTCGCGGGTGGGTCGCGGGTGGGTCGCGGGTGGGTCGCGGGGTGGGTCGCTGGGGTGGGTCGCGGGTGGGTCGCGGGTGGGTCGCGGGTGGGTCGCGGGTGGGTCGCGGGTGGGTCGCGGGGCGGGTTGCGGGTGGGACGACGACAACAAACAACAACAAACAACAACAAACAACAACAAACAACAACAACAACAACGAAAATCCGCACCGCGGAATTCCACTTCAGCCACGCACCCAGGGACAGTGAATGACCGTTCGGCCCCCTCAATCTGACGATGGCGAGGTACGACGGCGAGTACGATGACGAGTAAGACGATAGAACGGCAACGAGTACGACGACGAGTACGACGAGTACGACGACGAGTACGACAAGTACGACGACGATTCGCGACGAGGGTTTAGAACGCTGGATTGCGCATAGATGGTTATGACAAGCAAAGACATAAGATTAAACATCAGTGTGTGGGGTTCTTCGGTAGCGTAATATGCGGGCCGTTGGCCTTGGATTGGAAGGCCGTCGAGCAGATGGCGTCGCAATTGTGTGCGTCAAAATACGTGCTCGTCGCGCAATCGTTTGGCACGTGTTTTCGCGTGCTCCTGGCGACGACGGGGCCCCACGCGGGGTATCCAACTTACTAGCGTCGGACTCTTCACAAGTGAAGGTGCTAGCGCGGAGTGGCGGCGTGCGCGCATGGCACACGTGTTCACGTGTCCACGGAGGCGTCGGATATCCACCATGATGTGGGGGGAGCGTTTCTCCTTGAGACATCCTCATACAATGGGTATGCTGGAGAAGTTGTTGTTCGATGCTGGGTTGCAATGGCGACGCATTCGTTTGAAACATCTTCAGACAATCATATGTTGGATGCCCGCCGTCGGATATCCAGCATGGCGTGTGCGGGGGGGGGGCTGAGGCGTCTTTACACTATGGGGATGTTGGAGGAGTTGTTTTCTCGACGGTAGCTCTCAAGACGGAAGCGTTCGCCTGAGACATTTTCAAAAAGGTACGACGGTGGAGTTCCGACGCCGGACATACATTCTGACGTGAGTATGGGTGAGCGTTTCGCCTGAGACATCATTTGACAACTTACAATGTGGATGTTGGATGGGTTGTTCTACGGTGTAGGCGCTCAGACGTGAATTTTTCGCCTGAGACATCTTCAGATCATGATATGCTGGAGATCCGACGTCGGATGTTCAACTTAATGTGGGGGCGAGGTGTTTCGCTTCAGACATCCTCGCAACATGGGTATGTTGGAGGAGTTGTTATACGACGTTGGATCTCAACAAATGAAGCTTTCGCCTGATACATCTTCAGAGCATGAGGTGTTGGAGGTTACACGTCGGACATCCGACATGGTGTGTTGGGAGCGTTTCGCTTGAGACATCCTCACGAGGTGGGGATTATTGAAGAGTTGTTTTACGACGCTGGTTCTGAAAAGCGACGCTTTCGCCACACATCCCCAGAAAATGACATGCTGGAGATCGGGCGTCCGATACCCAACATGGTCTGTGTGTGGGTGTGAGTTTGTGTGTGTGGTTGTGTTCGTTTGTGTGTGTGTGTTTGTGTGTGCGCGCGTGTGTGTGTGTGTGTGTGTGTGTGCGTGCGTGCGTGCGTGCATGCGTGCGTGCGTGTGCGTGTGCGCGCGTGTGAGTGTGTGTGTGGGTGTGTGCGGGTGTGTGTGTGTGTGTGCGTGCCCGTGTGTGTGTGTGTGTGTCTCTGTGTGTGTGTGCGTGTGTGTGTGTGTATGTGTGTGTATGTATGTGTGTATGTGTGTGGTGTGTGTGTGTGAATGTGTGTGTGTGTGTGTGCTTGTGTGTGTGTGTGTGTGGGGGGGCGTCTCGCCTGAGACATTTTCGCCTAACGGGAATGCTGGAGGCGTCGTTTTACGACCCTCGCTCTCAAAAGTGAAGCTTTCGCATGAGGCATCCTCTGAACATGAGATGTTGGAGATCCGACGTCTGATATCTAACACTGTGTGTGTGCGTGTGTGTGTGTGTGTGTGGGGAAATCCTCGCCACATGGGAATGTTGGAGGAGTTGTTTTACGACGCTGGCTGTCAGGAGTGAAGTTTTCGCATGAGACATCTTCAGACAATTGAACTGTTGAGCTCGGGCGTCGGATATCGAACGTGGTGTGGCGGAACGCTGCAGACATCTCCAGAAAGAAAGATATATTCAGTGAGCACCCTAATTCTACGTACCTTCAAGAGCTCGGCTCTCGTCTGAGACATCCTCACACACGGAGGCGTCACCAGAGAAGCCCGGCAGCTGACAGCTTGACTCATTTTCCTTACCCGGCTCGTGTGTCCCTCGAGTCTGTTCCTCCAGTGATGGGTTTCTTGTCGGTCCTGTTCCGCCTCCCCTACGCCGTGAGGACGTCTGTTTCGAGGGCAGCGGCCCCCACCACGTTTTCATCATCGGGGACTGGGGAGGCATCACGCAGGCGGCCCGGCCGCCGGCCCGCCCGCAGTGTGCACGGCCCCGCTGCGGACCCCACATCTGCACGGCACGCTACTTCTACGTGATAGGAAGGAGGATGAGGAGGAGGGGGAGGAGGAGCAGGAGGAGGAGGAGGAGGAGGAGGAGGAGGAGGAGGAGGGGGAGGGGGAGGAGGAGGAGGAGGAGGAGGAGGAGGAGGAGAGGAGGAGGAGGAGGAGAGGAGGAGGAGGGAAAGAGGGGGAGGGGGAGCAGGAGGAGGACGTGAGGGAGGGGGAGGAGGAGGAGGAGGAGGAGGAGGAGGAGGAGAGGAGGAGAGGCAGGGGAGGAGGGGGAGGGGGAGGGGAGAGGAGGAGGAGGAGGAGGAGGAGGAGGAGGAGGAGGAGGAGGAGGAGGAGGAGGAGGAGGAGGACGCGAGGGCCTGCAGGTGTCCGCAGCCTCCTACGGCAACTGGGGAGCCTGGAAATCAGGCGCGGCGCCAGTCGCTGCTGAATCCACCCTTAAGGGGGATTCCTGTACGGGGTTGTCGGCCAGCCTTGAGATGCCTCAGGGCCGCTGCCCGCGCTCTGCTAGTCTCCCAGGTGACGGGCACATTGCACGGGGCCAACAAAACTGGGGACTGGCGGGTGGAGGCCGAACCGCCACAAACGAGAAAAAACACGAAAGGGCCTTCCGTGGCCAACCGATGGCCACGCATGGCCACGACCTGGTCACCTGGGGACTCCAGGGGCCCAGGGGTCCTGGACGGGGCGCCAGCTGTGCCGTGGGACTCTGGCCCCTGGGGGCGGCCCTCATCCGCCCCTCCGCCGAACGCAGGCCCACCTTGGCCCCCGCCCAGGACCCGAGACGAGTCGGCAGCGCTCGGAGCTACAGGCCTGTGCCCACTGGACGCAGTGGGCCTCCTCGGGCCCCCAGGGGGGGCGACAGCCCCAGCCCCGCCCCCCGCGCCCAAAGGGCCCTCAGGCGTGCCGGCACCGCCGAGCGCGGCACGAATCCAGGGCCTCGCGTCCGAAGGAGGGGCCGCACGCCATGCACGGGCCAAGGCAGCAGCAGGGCCTCCAAAGGGCCCAGCCCGAGGGGACCTCGAGCGGTCCCCGAACCTCCGCGGAGGCGGCGCAGTCCAGGGTCTCGCAGCCGCGAGCCGAGGATGGCCAGCCTCAGACCGAGGCGACGCGTCCCGCAGGACGCGATCCGCAGCACGGAGGGCGACGGCGATGGCATCCTCACGCGCCGAAGGGAGCGGCGCCGCGGCAGGAGAGGCGGGGTCGGAGGGAGGGAGACGGGTCCTCGCACGGGCCACGAGGGAGCGGAAGGCGAAGGGCGCACATTCCTCCCGCTCGAGTCAGCGCCTCGCTGCCGCAGTCGCGGCCGAGGCCGAGCAGGCTGTGCACGTCCAGCCCTCGGGCCGACGGGCGAGGCGGTGGCGGCGGCCGATCTCGGCGGGCACCGATCTCGGCGGGCGCCACCGGTGGCGGCGGGAGGCTCTGCCGACATGTGCGGCCCTGAGCCTCTTCAGGCAGGGTGCCCAGTGCGGTCATGTGCCACGCCAGCACGGAGGCCTCCCCCACGGCGTCGGAGAGCCGCACCTTGTGTGGAGGTCCGCCGGCGCAGCAGGGAGCCCGTGCTCTCGAGCTCCCTGCGTGGCAAACCAGGCAGCCCAACTCCTTGCCGAGGAAGTCCGTGACGTCGCTGCACGGGTCCTCGGCGTGCTCGATGCAGGGGGAGGAGGAGGAGGAGGAGGAGGAGGAGGATGAGGAGGAGGGGGAGGAGCAGGAGGAGGAGGAGGAGGAGGAGGAGGAGGAGGAGGAGAGGAGGAGAGGAGGAGGAGGGGGAGGGGGAGGAGGAGGAGGAGGAGGAGGAGGAGGAGGAGGAGGAGGAGGAGGAGGGCGAGGAGGAGGAGGAGGAGGAGGAGGAGGAGGAGGAGGAGGGGAGGAGGAGGAGGAGGAGGAGGAGGGGAGGAGGAGGAGGAGGAGGAGGAGGAGGAGGAGGAGGAGGAGGAGGAGGAGGAGGAGGAGGAGGAGAGGTGGGAGGGGCACCACAGCGCGTCAGGTGGCGCCTGGCCCCTCCTCGCCTCGAGCGCTTGCCTCCAGATGTCCGCGCAGGTGCCGACCGAGCTGGCATGGCGAGGGCCCCGCTCCCGGATCTCGCGCTGCAGGCCCGCCAGGTCGGTGGCCAGGAGCTTCATGCTTGGCAGCAGCCGCAGGGCCTGCAGGAAGGCCCACCGCTCGGCCCTGCCCGCCGTCTGGCGGGCGCCAGGAAGAGCCCCGTAGAGGGGAACAACAAGTGATATAAACATAAAGACTCAGAGGTCCGCGCGGACCTCCGAGTTTTTATGTTTATGTCAGTGTTTGTTTCCCTACCGTAGGCGGCGCGCCTCGGCAAGCCCATCATGCCCAGCTGCACAATCGCCCAGCCACATCGCGTGAGCTCAGGCGTGGCGGGCTCGTACCCCGAGCCGTCGGAGTAGACGACCGTGATGTCGATGCCGTCGTCCAGCGCCCAGTCGCCCCACACGAAGATGTCGGCCACCCTGGCCGCCGCTGGCACCTCGTACGGCACCATCGGCAGGCCAACGATGAGGTCGAAGCGGTCGTAGTCGGCGTCGCCCAACCCGATGTGGCACCTGTCCCGCATGCGCTGCTTGGTCCTCAGCTGCGGCTCCGTCATCTCTGCTTGCGCCGCGCCCGTCTCGGGCTCGCGGGGGTGGCTGCGGGGGCTGGCGCGACCGCAGGCAAGGTTGGCTGCGCTTGTCCGCCCTTGACGAGGAGCCGGCGTGGCCTGGGCGGCAAGCCTGGGCCCTTTTCGACTGCACCTTCAGATTCCCCCTCGCGCCGGCAGGGGCTGGAGAGCGAGGTCTGTAAGTACCCAGCGCGCCGAACCAAGTAGCGATTCCTTCCGGCAAAGTAGCGATTCCCTACGGCACAGCGATGGACTTCGCGCAGCAGCTGGGCCCGAGTGCACCATGGATGGCGACAGTAAGTGACGGCGAGAAGCGATCGTCGACAAAAACTTAAGTTTGATGCGTCAGAGGGCTAGTTGACCTCTTCACTGCACTGGGGCCTGGTGGAGATTTTGACCCGCCCTTTCGTTTCCTGACGCGCCCTCCTGTTTCCTGGGATCCCCAGGGGTCTATCGCCGATTCAGGAAATCCGTACGGACCTCAGTTGATGTGTGTGCAGATTTTGTTCTGTCAGAAGGAGGAAGCATTCGCCGATTCATGCGAGCCTGGCCCAGATCAGGTCGGAGTCGCGACTACATGCGCTGGGTGCTTGGTTGTTGTCGATGGTGGCCTCGCCTGCGGATTGACAATACGTGCATTGGGAACTCGTGGGCGTTGCCATGTTTGATCATTATGTCTCGGCCTCGTACTGCAGCGGTCAATTTAGCTTCCGGGGCGAGGCTGGGAGAAGTTTTCCACGGTCACAGTCCGCCGCGCCCAGGGCCCGAGACATTCAAGCCTCAGACTGATGCGCGCCACGAGTGGTTCCAGTAACATGCGAAGGACGAGGACAGATGGGAGTATGTCCGCTGGATCCCGAAATAGACACAGATACCATGTTTGATAGTCTGCCTACTTCGGACAATATTGTTGAGCCCCTGAGGCCCAGGAACAGTAATTCGCTAGCGGCTCCCACGGACTGCATGATGGATCGATTAGGCGATGAAGTTTGAAGTATTTTGAGCGGTACTAAATCAGTAAGGGCTTCGCCCCCTGCCGCCGGCCCCCTCTCTCAGAGAATGCGCTATGCAAGGGCTATGTCATGAGGCCTGGGCGCTGTCGTGAAGCAGTATCGGAACTTCATGCGAGGCCGACTCGTAGTGAGCAGAACCAATTGATCATCAGAGGGGTAACCACACTTGGCGATTGGTAAGACGTCGTGGCCCTACGGATCTGCGTGAGGGGTACCGCCGAATTTCAGAAATGCGGCAAATCCCCTTTGTTTTTGGACCGATCTGCATGAGGGGTGCCGCCGAATTACAGAAATGTGGCAAATCCATTGTGTGTTGGGACCCTGACCCTGCCGTTCTGCGTGAGGGGTGCCGGCGAATTTCAGAACTGTGGCAAATCCCATGTGTGTTTTGGACCCGGACCCCGCCGATCTGCGTGAGGGGTGCCACCGGATTTCAGAACTGTAGCACATCCCTTGTGTTTTTGCACCCTGACCCTGTCGATCTGTGTGAGGGGTGCCACCGAATTTCAGAAATGTTGCACATCCATTGTGTTTTTGGACCCTGACCCTGCCGATCTGCGTGAGGGGTGTCACCGAATTTCAAACAAGTGGCAAATCCTGCATGTTTTTGCGCCTTGACCCCGCCGATCTGCATGAAGGTGCCACCGAATGTCAGAAATGTCGCACATCCCTCGAGTTTTTGCACCCTGACCCCGCCGATCTGCATGAGGGATGACCGAATGGCAGAAATGTCCACCGAATCTGCAGGGGTGCCAAATTTCATATAGTCCCATATGTTTTTGGACCCCGATCCCGCCGATCTGCGTGAGGGGTGCCACCGAATCTCAAACATGTGGCAAATCCTGTATGTTTGCGCCCTGACCCTGTCGATCTGCGTGAGGGGTGCCACCGAATTTCAAAAATATAGCAAATCCCATATGTTTTTGGACCCCGATCCCGCCGATCTGCGTGAGGGGTGCCACCGAATCTCAAACATGTGGCAAATCCTGTATGTTTTTGCGCCCTGACCCTGTCGATCTGCGTGAGGGGTGCCACCGAATTTCAAAAATATAGCAAATCCCATATGTTTTTGGACCCCGATCCCGCCGATCTGCGTGAGGGGTGCCACCGAATCTCAAACATGTGGCAAATCCTATATGTTTTTGCGCCCTGACCCTGTCGATCTGTGTGAGGGGTGCCACCGAATTTCAGAAGTGTTGGAAATCCATTGTGTTTTTGGACCCTGACCCCGCCGATCAGCGAGAGGGGCGCCACCAAATTTCCCTGTGTTTTTGGACCCTGACCCTGCCGATCTGCGTGAGGGGTGCCACCGAATTTCAAACAAGCGGCAACTCCTGCATGTTGTTGCGCCCTGACCCCGCCGATCTGCGTGAAGGTGCCACCGAATGTCAAACATGTCGCACATCCCCCCTGTTTTTGCACCCTTACCCCGCCGATCTGCGTGAGTGGTGCCACAGAATTTCAAACATGTTGCTAATCCCATGTGTTTTTGGACCCGGACCCCGCCGAACTGCGTGAGGGGTGCCACCGAATTTCAAACAAGTGGCAAATCCTGCATGTTTTTGCACCCTGACCCCGCCGATCTGCGTGCGAGGTGTCAGTTTTTACCCGCCCCAGCAATTCAGACAATACGATTTTCTCCGTGGTGAAAATGCCCGTTTTGGGCCTCCCCCCCTCGCGCTGTCCATCAACAAGGAACAGTAAGCAGCAAGAAGTCAACAAGGAACAGCAAGCAGCAAGAAGCAGAACTGTAACAGTGGAAACTGGAAGCTGCAACTGGTACAGGAAACTGCGAACCTCCGGCCTACAGCCTGGTGGCCCCACAAGGGGGCCGGCGGATCAAAGGAGCAACCGAAAGGCCGAAAGTAGGAGTCAATGAAAGGCTTCCCTCCCCGCATGTTCCTGTGGTCGGGCGGGGCTCGGACCAGGACAAATCGCTCCAGAGCGTGACGGAACGCTCTCAGAGTACATCTTCCGGGCGAATCTGCTAGATTCCCGATTTGTCTTGCTCCGATTTTGTCCCCGTCTTGGCTCCATTTGATTTGGAGCATGTTTCTGCGGAGAGCGTCCTTGGACATGCCCGCTGTTTCCTGCAGCTTCCCTGCGCTGAATCGTCGCTGGACTTACGAGTCAGAATCTCCTCTCAGGCCGCGGGGCATCTAGGATGAGCAGCGCCCGCCAGGGAGCCGAGACTGGCCCCGTGCTGGGAGCCGATCGATGATCAATGGGGCGCGTGTTAGCCCAAGCGTGTGTTCGCCCCGCTCGGTTCCGCCGATAGCGCGCAGCCTGTCTCGGCCCTCGTTGCGCCGCCTGCGCCGTGCTGAAGGGCCGCGGTGGGCAAACACGCGTTGGCGCTAACACACGCTCTGAGACACGCTCTGAGGATCATCGAGCCGAGCTCGCGCACGCCCTCCGACACGGTGGGCCGACCAACCTCTGCGGAGCCCTTGCAGGGCACGCTGCCCCCCCCCCGCGCGCGCGTGCATCGTGCTCAGCGCTCGCTCGCTCGTTCACAGCACCTGCCCCCGCGCTCATCTTGCAGAGCTCTCCCTGGCATCGCTCGTGCGTTTCTCGGCGAGGACCATCGGGGAGCATCCTGAGCCATCGAGCGAGAGGATCGCGCGCGAAAGCGAAAAAATAACAAAAACATGGGGAGTGGACGTCCGAGCGATGGCACGTCTCTGCCCTCGTCGCTCGCGCTGGCCCGCCCGCGGCCGCCGGCACGCAGGGCGACGGGCGTCTCTCCGCTGCCCCGCACCTCACCCACCGCTGGGAGACCAACTACCAGTTCGTCTGGCCTCCCGACGACCAGGCCGCGGTGCGGCCGACTGCTCGCCGGCAGCCCTTCAGCGGGAGGGCGTGGGAGGGCGTGTAAGGGGAGGGGCGATGAGCAGGGGGGTCGGCGCGGGATGCAGAAAAGGAGCCTTTAGAGCCCCCAAAGGAGCACTTCGAGGCCCCAAAGGGGGCCTTCAGGGTCCCGTTGATCGACCCCCATCAGTGCGCGCCCAAGGGCATGGGAGAGGATTCTCCCTGCCTTGCTGCTTGTTGCTGCTCGGTCGCGTTTGTCGTTCTCTGTTGCTTGCGTGCGATTGCCAACGGGCGGTCCAGCGAGTGCGCAATCTTCAGCTTGGGCTCGGTCTTCAGCTTGGGTTCGGTCGGCAGTGTGGAGTGTCTGGGGTCTGTCCCATTCTGCCCTCAGGGTAACTAGTCGCTTCCTCTCGCATGCAAATGTAGAAAGGAAGCAACTGATTTTCCAACAGAGGGCCGAGATGCAGGGCTCAAAGCTTTAAACTCTCAACTGCTGCGCGCGCTCCTGCACCTCCAGCAGAGGAGCCCTGAGCCGGAAGGTCAGTACGGAAGATGTGCACATGCAAAAACATGAAGCATAGAGGTGCATTTTCGATCGCACTCGGGGTCAGGTAGACCAAATGCTCTCGAGGACAGGGACATCTACTTGGGAAAGACACTCGTACATGCGACACGTATCCAACAATTTCCGGACGGCCTTCAGCATTGAAGTCTGCCGCACTGGCGGTTTCAGCAGAATACGTTACGGATGGCACTGATCGTGTATGCAAGTCTGCGTAACTCCAACACCAGCTCCGAATAAGCTTTGCGTTCAGATCCTGGTCTACCACACAACTGCTGGATACGTGCAATGCGGCCGGACATATACCTGTGAAGGTAACGTGCATCCAAATCACGGGTAAAAGCATAAGGCACGATACGGGTCACGGTTTGGGCGCCGCTCCCCAAGCAAAGTCCAACGTTCTGGTTGTAGCAGTTGATCGACACACGCACTCCAAGGATGTGCCACGTGGAGTCCAAGACTTTGAAAGTAGGCACGGTCTCTTTCAACTCAATCCCCAGGCCATGGATGGTCGCTACGACACTCCGTATACAACTAGTGCAGAGAATCCGTGACAACACAACGACATCATCTACGTGAAACAGCGCTGCGATAATGCCATCAATTCCCACATCTAGGCCAGATAACCCACACAGCTCAAGAAAACGAGTATCTGAATAAAGTCTCCGTGTTGGCTCTGAGAGCTCGTTGCCCTGAATGAGACCATTGCGCATGCGCAAAATGGTGTCTCCCAACATTAAGTAACAATTTTCGAACTCGAAATCAAAGATATTTCTTATGGTATCGAAGCTGACCACTGTCCGCGTTAAATTCGGGTTCAGCTCGTTCCCACCCATTAAACTGCGGATGCCGCGTTGTCGTGAAATTGAAACACATGTCTTTCCCGTGCCGGGTTGAATGCGGCCAAGGAGATCGAACACATCTTGGCGGCCTTGGTCACGCCGCGCATCAGGGAAAAACGGAGCGACGTCGAACTGGCCACCACACATCGCAGGCTTCCCGCAGCAATATTTGTTGCACGGGTATGGTGAGCCAGTCGGGCACGCCAATCTGCGAAGACCTTCCCAGGCTTTCTGAACCATATCCTGTGACCGCCGCAGCGTCCACGAGTGGTGCCTCGGATCTCGAAGGCAAACTCAGATCGCGCGGGCGGCTAGGCGAGCAATGCGCTTTGCAGGGCCAGTCGGTCGTGCGTCGACTTCTCTACAGTGTTGATGGCTGCGCGTGCGGTCGAAACGACTGCCAGAGAAACACTTCGCCTTCGGTTTGAGATACACGTGCCCCATGACATCTCGACTCCAACACTTGCGGGGATCAGTTCCTGGTACTTGTCCAACACATGATTGCACACAAAGGTAGACAGAGGTGCCTGCATCAATTGCCTGTTTCCCGCATGCAAAAGGTGGTCACCAAGTTCGACGACATAACCAACCGAGGATCGTGTCGTTCGAGTGTTCATGTTGTGGTCAACTGGCGCACAAACTTCACCTTCAGAACAATAGAACCCAGAATAATCCATGCGAAAACCACGAGGATGTTGTAACACGTGCCTGGTGGACCGCATGAGACACCAGAGCCGCTCCGACACGTGGTCGAGCACCTGATCTGGAAGCCCAATGTGAAGAGCCCATCGGCGGGTCTGGAACATCAGCTCGCGATGCATATCAACAGAGGCTACGGGCACAGGCACATCCCAATTCAACGCAACAAATCGAACGTCAGCTCGGGATCGCAAAAGTTCCAACCAAAGAATATTCATCCAAAGAACGGTACAGTCCGACAGACAAGTTCTTCGCGTGTTTGATATGGTTTGTGCCTTATGACGCAAACGATAAAGGTTTGGAGCGGTAGAGGTGCGATCTCTCAAAGATGAACCGGGCCTTGGCCCTGTTGACGCCGCCGTACTCCCGAACGCAGTCTTTGAGCAGAACCCGAAGTGAACCCAAAGATATTTGGCATTTGTACCTCGACATGGAAATTGAAAGGCCATTTGTGGACACTGTTGGACAGTCGAAGCCACCAACGCATTCTGCGTGTAGCTCTGGCACGCGCGACGCCATCCAAGAAGTCGCGGCACTCCCTCCATAATTGCATCACAACTTCACCCAAATCACCGCACACAGACTGCAGCTTGTGAGTGTCAAGCCAACCCTTTCAGCGACCCCACACACTTCGCCAACAACATGCCATGCTGATGCACGTCGATGGGTGCAGGCAAGCCGCTCCAAACGCAGAACTGGTATAGTTTCTTGAACGGCGTGTCCTGCTAGAAAGTCAGATTGTTTCAAGAGCGTTCAGCCTGAAATGGAGCACGACCCAAAAACAAGCTCGTTAGGAGGAAGCAAATGTTGCCAGAGAGAACAGCATATGGACCGCCTGACGCTGGAAACCTCTTGTGCGGCCTTGACCGTTGCTTGCCCGTCAAGCTGGCACGAATGTCCCGCCTCTGGAGCCGATCGCAAGTCATCTTAGATTTTTGCGTAGGTGGATGGAGCTTGTGAATGATGCATTGGTCCCTGGTGAGTATTTCAGGCGAGGGCTGCGAGATGCAATTGCAAACCATGAAAAGACTCTCCACTGGGAACTTCGACCACTCTCTGTACTTCTTCTGGTGTGCCTCGGCAGTTTCACGAAGAACATGCATGCGGTGCTCAAGGAAGCGATGGCAGATGCCGGCTGGAAGAGTGAGAGGTTTTCCGCAGACGTGGCGAAGAAGGCGAGCTTCCCCGACATACCAAACCTTGCGCAGGAGACTAAATTGCGAATTGCAGAAACCGAGCTTCGAATCCTGCGCACATGTGTCAAATACCGTGTCCCACAGGAACAACAAAGACGCGTGTATTGCATCTCGAGCACAAGGATCCCGGAGAAGCAGAAAACGCTGCACATCATGCTGCATCGTTTTGGATATTGTCGCGAGAACTTCCCTTCTTGGATGAGACATAATGGTAAGACACCCGAGCACGTGGCTTAAGAACGTTGCTAAAGGTGCAAGCGGAACATTGCGTCTGCATGTAGCCATGGACCTCGGGAAGAGCCGAGAAAGCAGGATGAAAGCGGCAGTCTGGCATTTACCCATGTGATCTATGGGCGCTGAAGAGAAAAGCATGATGCCAAGAAGTCGTTTTTTTTGACACGCTGCAGACCAGCTGTATTTGACAAACCACTAGTCCCACAACTCCCGATCAGGTGACAGCCAAGCAGTAATATTGCCATGATTGATAATGCAGATACCGCATTAGCAAGTTGAGACCGAGACTGCGTTGAAAGGACATTTGCACGAAAACTGTTGCTTGCCAAGGTGACCCAAACAATCATGAATACGTAGCTGTTCAATATTTCTAAAACGTACGTCGATTTATTGTCGAAGCAACGTTAGCAAAGTACCGGCCAGCTCAGGCAAACTATCCTCTCACATGCAAGTGTAGAATGGAAGCAACTGGTTTTCCAACAAAGGGCTGAGATGCAGGGTTCAAAGCTTTCACCTCTCTCAACTGCTGCGCGCGCTCCTGCGCCTCCAGTAGAGGAGCCCTGAGCCAGAAGGTCAGTACGGAAGATGTGCAGATGCACAAACATGAAACATAGAGGGGCATTTTCGATCGCACTCGGGGTCCGGCAGACCGAATACTCTCGAGGACAGAGGTGAGTCGTGCGGAGGAGGAGTGCGGGCGTATGAAATCAGAACCGTGTATAGCGAACGGAATTGTTCCTCAAATATGGTTTAGCATAGGCTTCTTGCGTAGTCATAAGAATTCGTGTTTGAAGCTCTCTGCCGGTTGTGTTTGTTGGTGTTGTTGTTGGTGTTGTTGTTGTAAGTGTTGGTGTTGGTGTTGTTGGTGTTGGTGTTGTTGCTGTTGTTGGTAGGGATGGTGTGATTGTTGTTGGTGTGTGTGCTGTTGTGTTATGGTGCTGTTGTTGGTGGTGTGGTTGCTGATGCTGATATTGTTGCTGCTGTTGCTGATGATGTTGTTGTTAGTGGTGTTGCTGTTGCTGCCGTTTCTGCTGTTGCTGTTCTGACTGTTGTTGTTGCAATTGTTGTTGCTGTTGGTGGTGGTGTTGTTGCTGCTGTTGCTGCTGCTGGTGTTGGTATTGTTGTTGTTGTTGCCGTTGTTGCTGTTGCTGTTGCTGCAGCTGTTGCGGTTGTGTTTGCTGTTGAACTCGAACTACTGTACTGAAGAATATTATTGTTGACCCCCCTCTGGTGACCATTGTGTTTATCCATTGGTGTGTTTCTCCCAGGGCTCGCACCCTTTTTTCAAGGAAAGTCACTCGGCTCAAACTGCGTTGTTGACCCCCGGGTTACAACGACAACGGTTCCCACCTGAGACTTCCTCACATGTTAGCCAGGACCCCCGTTCCCGCCTGAGTCGTCCTCGCATTTTATTCAGGAATCGCGCTCACGCTTAGAAATTCCTTACAATTCATTCACGAATCGCGCTCTG